TTTCAACGCTTTTTTTTTTTTTATTTCGATAAATAAAAATCTCAAATTAGTTTTCGTTTGTTTTTTTTTTTTTCTACTTTTATTTTTCTTAAATTTAAACTTTTTATTTGGGACACTAAATATTATTATCGGGAGGGGGGGGGGGGGAAAGGGGGGTTTTCCCCAACCCTCTTCCCCTCCTTGATGAATAATTCGTTCGTTAAGTTTTATATTATTATTTTTTTTTTTCGTCTTATGGTTTTCATTAATTTGTTTGTTTATCTCCCTATGTCTCTCTATCTCTCTCTCTCTCTCACTTTCTTCTTTAAAACCTGAGGTTTTTGATTTTCTTCATTCAATTCATTTTCTATCCGAAATAAAATAACAGCAAACTTTTAGACTGAATTTTCTCTCTGTATCTAAAATAATCAAGTTAACCGCAAATCCCTCCCCCCCCACCCCATCAATTTCTCTCATCTTATTTGAAATTTTCGCTAACTTAAATTTTCCTTCGTAATTACTTTAAATTGTTAATTATATTTTAGATTAATAAATAAATAGTGATAATAATAATATTAATAATAATAATAATCAATATATAAACAAAAATCACGTTTGAATGAACCAATGTTTGATAAAGCAAAAAAAAAAAAAAATGGGGTAACGAACCTGTATAAATGGCGGGAACAAAAAAAAAAAAAAAATTTTTCTTCTGCTTTTACTCTTTTACGTAAACCCGTTTATAAATATAACTTTTTTTTTCATCCGTGAAAATTTTTTTTTTTTTACGGAAATTGATTTTTAAATGAAAATTTTTTTTTCACGAGTGTGTGATTTTGTATGTGCGAAAAAAGGTGTGAGGGAAAGAGAAAAACAAACAAAAAAAAAAAAACGTTAATGACGATATTTTTAAACCGCAAAAATCGTGTTTAGCAAAAAAAAAAAATGATAATAATAATAATAATGAATTTATGGGAAATGAAAGCCCTCCCTCCCCCCCCAAAAAAAAAAAAAAACTTTACGTGAATTTTTCTTTGTTTAGACAAAAAAAAAAAAATGACAAAAACAAAATTAAAAAAACAATATGGAGAAAAAAAAATGGCGTTCGAATTTAAAAAACAAAACGAAACGAACAAAACAAAAAAAAAAGAGACAACGACAAACAACAACAACAACAACTGGAAATTTTTTTTTTGTAAATAAAACACACATTTTTAACGATTTATTTTCATTTTTATTTTTTTTAATTAAAGGAAATAATTAAAAATTCAATTTAAAAAAGTTTTTAAACAAAAAAAAAAGGAAAAAAAAATGGAAAAAATAATTGAAGACTAATATACAATTTAAAATGATGAAAATGTTTTTTCTCTTTCTCTCTTTCTCTCTCTCTCTCTTTTTTTTTTTAATAAAATTTAAATAAATTAATAAAAAAAAAAAGGAAAACTTTTATTTTTATATTTTTTTTTAGAAATTTCGTGTAAAAAGTTTTCCTTTTTTTTCCTTTTTTTTTCCGTTTCTAGAAAACCTCGAAGGGTCGAAAAAAAAAAAAAATTGAATTAACTTTCCCAAGTTTTTGGTCATCATTGACAAAAGGACAAAACAGACTGATAGGCTCCTAACTAACTTTTCTTTTTTTTTTTTTTTTCTAAACTAAATTTTTCCCAAAAGAACAGTAAAAATTTTCCGTAACTACCTTTTTTTTTTTTTTTTTTTATTATTATATTTTTTTTTTTACTAAAAACAAAAAGTTCTTCCATTGTTTGTTGTTAACGTTCGAATTTTTCTCAAAACATGAACGAATGTTAGCGAGTGAGAGAAAAAGAAAAAAAAAACTTTTACCGATTTTATTCTCTTTTGTTTCCGTTATTTTTTAAAAAAAACCTTAAAACAAAAAATAAACCGGAAATGAAACATTTAAAAAAAGAAAGAAATGAATTTATTATTTCAAACTTTTCCTTTTCTATTCGCTATTTAAAAAAAAAAAAAAAATGGCGGAGAATCAATTTTAATAAAACCCACAAAATTGACCCCGAAATGTTTTTACCTTTATTATTATTATTATTATAAAATCTATTATTTTATTACGTAATTTATTAGTTTATGTTAAAGGTAAATAAATAATCGATTTGTTTGTTCGATTCGGGAAATCAATAAAAAAAAAAAAAGAAAATTAAAACGCAATAAAAAAAATAAAATCGATAATTTTTTCCTTTTTTTTTTTCTTTTCATTTTAACTCGATACGAAGAAAATTGTTGAAAATCAACAAAATTGCTACGTCATTGTTAAAACTAAATTTATATATATATATATAAAAAAAAAAAAGTGGTCAATAATGCGATGGCGAAAATAAGATAAAAAAGAAAAAAAAGGAAGAAAAGGAAGAAAAAAAAAAGGAAAACATTGGGTAAAAGCTGTAGTAAGCTCACCTGCATCAAACTGTTAAGGGTAAAAACTACGTTGCCAAGCAACCCTACAGCGCAATATTAACCCGAAGGGTTGCAATAGTGATAGAGAAACGGTGGCGAAGAACCATCATGTGTATAGATAGACACACACGCACACGCACACGCACACACACGCACAATAACAAACGAATTCCTTTTCATGTATCGTTTATATATACTCTCAATTTTATTACGTTTACATAATTTATTATTAAATAATCTGTTGAATAAAAGAAAAGAAAACCTCGCATAAGAATTTTCTTCTTTTTTTTTCTCAACGACTTTCCCTCCCCCTCACGCCCCCCTCAAAAAAAAAAAAAACAATTTTATTATAAATTTTTTTGCGTAATAAATAAATCGACAGGGCGCCAAACATGATAAAATTTATTTTTTTTTACTCTCTCCCATCTCCCCTCCCCGTCCCCCCATTTTTTTTTCCGGAATTTCAAGGAAGGAAGCAAAATTCCCAAAACCTTTTTCGTAGGATTAATTAAAAAAAGAAGAAAAAGGTTAAAGGTTAATAAAATTTTTTTTTTTTTAACGGACGTCAACAAAACTCTAAATTTTTACTTGATACTACTACCCATTTATTTTCTACGTTCATAAATTTTTTTTTTTTTTTTTTTTATCAACAGGAAACAACAGCAGACGAAAATTTTTTTTTCTTAGTTCAAGAGCAATAATTTTTTTTTTCCCTGACCCCTCCCCTTCTCTCTCCCCTACTTTTTTTTTCCGTGCTGAATCTCCCAAGTATAGAATAAAAATTTTCTTTCCTTCGAGGGCTGACACTTTGAGGGCTCACTGAGAGAAGAAACCCAAGACATTTTGTTTAAATAAAAGGGAATATCTCGAGGGTGAATTATAGCCTCCCCCCTCACCTTTTTTCTTTTTTTTTTTTTTTTTTTTTAGCTTTTACAACAAAACTTTTGACTCGAAAAAAAAAAAAAAATTATTATATACATGTATAAAATTCGGGAAAAACTTTTTTTGCCTTTACGTAAAATTAAATGTTTTCTTTCCTTTTCTTTCCTTTTTTTAAAGTCATTTTTTACAAATATTATTATTATTATTTTTTTTCTTGTTCTTCAAATAAAAATTACGTCGTAAAAAAAGCAAAACGAAAAAAAAAAAAAATTTTTTTTTCATAATGTACCTCTTACGAAATTAAAAAAAAAAAAGCAGAAGAATTTTCGACACCGAAATAAAAAAAAAAATTTTCCTTTTTTTTTTTTTTTTGACCTTCGACAAAGTTTACAAACAAACAAAAAAAAATTGTAATTTTCTAATAAAATATATATAAAAATAAAAGAGAAAATTGTTTAAAAAAAAAAAAAAAAAAGTAATAAAAATAAAACGTGAAAAAGACACAAAGAAGTAAAATTAAGAGAGAGAAAGAGAGAGAGAGAAAATAGAAAAGAACGTTTAAAAAAAAAAAAAATTTTTTTTTGACTTTGTTTCGTTTTCAAACCTCTCGAGAGAATTCAGGTACATGTTTTTATAAAAAT